GACGGCTTTATCCGAAAACCCAGCACCTCACAAACTGTAATGTGGATCTGCCGTGTTCCTGCCGATCCAGTCAGATACGGCTCTTGCCAGAGGTTTCTGTTAGCCCTGGCTCCTAACGGCTTCAGTTTGCTCTCTGGTCATTAAACAGACATCCCATCCCAGCAGGAGCTCTCATGACAAATTACAGACATTCAGGAAAGGGAATTTTGCTTGCAGAAGCAATGTTTTGCAAGAATTATTAAAGTTATGGTTTTATCTTATTAACGCTTACAGTTTTAGAACTATTTCCCCGCTACTTAAAACCATCCAAAATTCATCCTGCTAAGTTGTGTAGTCATCAAGCACTATTTCTACCTGGCATTAGTGTTCCAATATACTTGTTCAGACAGCGTCCATATTCCAAACACCCAGCCAAACCCCAAAGAAAGTAAAAAAAAAAAAAAAAGGGCCCAAAACTCCCCGTGCAGCAAGGTGCACACGCAACAGCTGGTTTTAAGAGCTAGATATTTCCATTTCTCTTCGCCACATCACTCTGGACAAATACATTCTTACCTTCACCTTAAGGAGATCTTTGGCCTCAGAAGCACCACTTCAACACATCTAAGTTCAAGTATACAATGCCTAACCTTGGTCATTATCTGCAGTTATGGACCAGCTCCAAGACACTTGACTTGTAGTTCCTCCCAAGTAGAACGGTACTTACCAGTTGCTTTTTCCCAGCTCTACAAGCACTCCGGGCGTCCTCTTTACACCTGTACAGATGCAACAAGGAAAAAGCAGCTTATTCCTTTGCAAGCAGTAGTTATTTTACAAATCAGCAACCATCCTCACTACCTTGCTCTAATCCAGAGGTGACCGAGTAACGACACATTTCAGATACAACCACCCTTAAGCCGTTGTTGCTCCTCAGAAGTAGCCCTTGAACGCTTTCCCAATCTTTGCAAAAACTTTTGACATCCACTCACTGCACGTTGTTTTCATGGGGATAAAGTAACAAAGACTGGAAAAAATTCCAAACCCCCAGCCAAACCCCAAAAAAAAAAAAAAAAAAAAAAAAAAAGGCACGTAAACATTAAATACTTTTAGGAGAAACAGAATCTGATATAAACAGGCAAACACACAGCTGCTACTATAAATTACAAACAAACATAGAAACTAAGCAAAAAATGCAAAAAGCAACTCTATTTATACATGTGCAAATCAACTTGCATATATGAAATAAATGAGGTTTTTATTGGCATTTTCAAACAGTGTGTATTTACCAACTTTACCTTTCAAAGGCAAGCCTTTTATGTTAATTTTAATAAATACGTAAATGCTTCTCTCAAGTTTTCTCATCTCATAGGAACAAGATTGTTGAAAAAAAACTAGGTCACATACAAAAATACAAAATTTTAAAACAAAGAATGTCTTGATATGAGAGATATGTTTAAAAGCTTGTAAAACGTTTTTATACTCAACTTTCGACGTTTTTTCCCATCAATCGCTGATCAATATATTCCGATGCAAGTCATGCAAAAACCTGATTTCGGAGTAAAGGAAGCTGCAAGCTTTACTGTCGGACTGAAAACCAGTAGCACAGCCCCATCTCTAATATCCTTGTTGAAGTGCAATATTGGACTACACCTTTCTTCTTTAATTAGGAAGGACAATAGTTACGGAACTTGGACAGAAGGCTGCCCTCTATCCTGAAATGCGGATATATATTCTACATTTTAGTACATCATTCCAACTTTTAAATAGTCCCACATGGATTTGCCTGAGCGCTGATCTGCGGAAGGACTGACTTATCTAGCACTGCACGAACAAACGCTGCTGTGCGATGGGGGAGCGCTGTATCGGGGTTAGCGGGTAACGTTTACAACGTTTATGCGCTTACAGTTCTCATACGGTAGTCGCCTTTTACAGAACTTTAGACTGAAGCTGTATTTCATAAAAGTAATATTGCTTCTGAAAAGGGAGTTTAAAATTAATAATAGAGGCCTATCAAATTATAGGTCCTGATTCTTTTAAGATTAATGAGTCTTCTCTGGAGATTTCAGTGGAAGTAGAATCAGGCCCAACCGATCGTGAAGCCAATTTCCATGTTCTGTCCCTGGCTGAAATGCCGGCGGCACCGGTGTTTGCCGTTTCATTTTTGCCAGTATGCAGTAATTCAGTTCAGCAGACTAGAAAGAAACAGTGCTACAGCATGAAAAAAACACAGCTTATAACAGACTCTGCCTGCTGTGGTAAAGGCAAACTTAGCACTGAGCAAAGCACTAGACCAGAAAAATCTTATACTAACAAATACCAAACCCCTCCCATCTTTGAAGGTTTAGAGGCAAAGTACAACGCAGTGTGCCATGTGGACGATACAGTGGGGGGGACAAGCAAATAGGTATTTACAGCAAAGAATTACACTACAGCAAAAATCACGCGTTTGGCATTCTTTAAGTGCGCAGACACAAATCTTCGTTTCTGACGTAATTCTGGGATATCTCGTTCCAAACTAAATTCCTGCCTGAAGAACCTCAGGCTGAACGGGTAAAGGCAAATTCTGCTGTCGCCTTTACTTTCAGCGCCAGGTGTAAGTGTATATATTTTAATACGCAGGATTTTCCAGTTGCACAAATACGCACAGGTATGCGGGGAATATTTTAATACAAAATGAATGGTTGCGCCTGCTCAGACCCATTTCCAATCCTCCTCCCCCAGCTTCTCCAGGGTATTGAAACCATTGCAGACTACAGTTGTGCTGACCGAAGCAAATGCTGAGCTATGGGAACAGTAAGGATTTTCATACTAGTTTGTGTTTGTTTTCTTTTCATACAAAAAGTTTGCCTCCCATTATAGAGCCCAGCTGTTCTCTTTCTGGAAAACTACTCTAAAATACAGCAGATTTGGTCATCACCAGGACCCAGGTACTGGTGACCCCGCTGTTCAGCAGCTCCCACATGGCCGTTTTGGACGCTCAGCGGTCTCTCGGGATTAAGTTCCTGTGCAGTCCCCAGCAATGATACGGAGTGTTACAGGGTAACGCCGTCAGGAGGGCTGAGGCAGGAAACAAAACACTTGAAAAAGCTAATTCGTTGCTTTTAAGTGGAGACTTTAAATGTGTACTGTTCTCTTCTCTTGTCTTGAGAATTTATCCAAGATTAAATAGCATCTCCCTTGCTTGGTCTTTGGTAGGTCGAGATACATCAATATTCACACACAGATTAATGAGTGCCGGTTACTAGAAAAACCTGGACCAACCACATATATCCAAGAAAGGAAAATTTAAAATACCTATTCTCTTCACTATTACCTGGTAATGTTTGTTAATCGTTATGAAAAACACCTTCACGTTGATTTTTTTTTTTCCCCAGTATGATCAGAGCACGTCCAAATTGCAGACCTGCAGACTATGACTGCTTTCAAAACGTACTGCAGATTTGTTTCTCACTAATCTTAGCAGATCATTTCCTGGACACAAATGGTGCTGCCAAGCATGCCACCTTCTGCTGAAAATAACAAAAATGACCTCTATAAAAAGAAGGCGGTTTAGAAGATTCAACTTGCTGCTCTAAAAAAATGACGTTTGATTTGAATTCCAAACTCTTGAATTGTTTTTTTCTAAATTTGTAACTGGTGTGTCTGCTAAACAAACAAACAAACAAACAAACCAAACCCGAAACCAAACACCCCCCCAAAACAGAAAAACAGTCAAAGAACCCACGAGACCGATCAATGCTTTTCTTAGCAGTTGTTTGTCTCCTCTTACTTGTTCTTCAGAAAAAATTTCTCTTTAAAAACCTAGCTAGTTATGAAGACATTTTACATTTCTACCATACAATAATTATAGTTAGCTTAGTTTAACCTTTCTATGTCATTCAGCAACACTTTAACTACTGGAAGCCGTAGCAAACTGAGGCTCTAACGATAATATTGCTCCAATGATGCTGAATACTTTTTGCTTCACACAGTATTTCTAGTAGACAGACTACAACAGAAGCATGGGCAAATTCCAAGGATTACTCTCTAAATGGGACCAGTAAACTGTGACAAGTCTATTCCAAAAATGGCAGTATGTTTTTGTAGCTTTTCCACACTGAAGAGTGCCACCACCCTAGTCAGCCGTTGAGTCACCGAGATGATGTGTCACACGCTGGCAACTCCCCGTTTGCTCTTTCGGGATGCTCTCTGTGTAGGCCGCTCTGATGCAGCAGCTGTGATGCAGACAATACCTTGTTGTATACAAAGATTTAAGGAAAAAAAAAAAAAAAAGGAAAAAAAGAACTGGGCCCAGATAACCCAATAACAGGGTACAGAGCTATCTTGTGATTCTGAGCTGTTGTGAAGTAAACCACTTCGTAGCCACTTGAGCTAAAGCAGTAGCCAAACCAGTGCACCTAGAATAAAACGTTAGTCCTCCCTCCCCTGCACCCCCCTCCCGCAAGCACACTTTTTTCAGTTTTCTGCTGGAATGAAGTTGAGATCCTTTAGCTAACCATGGTGGGGGATTTCCTAACTCATTAAAAAAATAGAAAACACTTCGCCCAAAGAACAAAAAAAAGCAGTTTGATGGGTCTGGGAAGTTTCTACAAACTATTCTGTGCAGTCATCTTCAAATCACTGTAGAACATGGAACTCATTTCTCGTCGCGAACAGATGAAGGAATCTGAAGAGTTACACTGCAAATGTTCTTATAGGAAAAAAAGATCAGTTAGCTGTTTATTAGGAATCCCTCCTCTCTTAGTAGATAATTCTGCCCAGCAATGATAGCTCTGCCTGCAGCAAAAAACCTGGACAAAAGTGCAGGGAGTAATAAGTAGCTCCTCTCAAAACTACTTACATTTTGTCCTCAACTCAAAAGAAGCTCTGCTGCTGCTATAGGCAGTCTTTACAAAGCGCAACCTGCCCCTTGATATAGTCTCTGCAGGGGCAGATTCTTCTGTGGGTTGGGTGGGATCCGGCACAGCTGAACAATAAGAGGTCGCCTTGGAAAACACAGTGCTTCCTTCTTCCATCGAAAGAGGGGACCAGAATATCATTTGCAGACTCCATGGTGAGACATTCGATATTATGCCTAAAAAGCAAAGCACATGATCTAAATCACAGTGGAGTTTACAGGAGTTTGGTACGGTTTTCATCCCTCCTCGCTAAAAATGAAATAAAATGCTGTATTACATCCTAAATCGAGTACATTTAGGATTGCGGATTTCCAGAACGTGACTCTCCTTCCGTTTCGCCTGCGCAGATTCTCTCTGCAGAGGGCAGTACAGTCTTTTCAGCTTTACTCCGTTTCCCAAAGATTAATTAAAGAAGTTAAAAAGGAAAAAAACCACTTTTGACTGTTTCCCAAAGCGTAATCTTTAATCGCACCATGGATTTCTAGTAAGACAAACCCAAAGAATCTGAAATCAGGAGCTATTCTCACTGATTTCAGCGGGGATCTCGCCCAGGCCAGCCACACCGCGCCGGGCAGCCCTGGGCTGCTGGAGGGGCCGTCAGCCAAACGGCGAGGGTGAGGCGATGCTGCACGTTACGGCCGACGCTGGTCGGAGCGGGGCCGCTGCTCCGAGGAACCAGCTAGTGCCAGCTGGAAAAAGAAAAATTCCAGTTGCCATTTTCTGACCACGAAGCTTAAGCACGAGGGTAGCGATCCCAGCAGAGGCTTGGTTTTCACTTATTCTGGAAACATTGGTAGCTTTCAGCATTTAACAGATTTTTTTTTTTTCCACAGAATTATAATTTTGTCTAGACAGCTAGAAAAGAAGCCTGACAAAGTTTTTACATGAGCCGCTTCTCAACGGCACTGGAAATGACAACTTTTCAAACAAAATACGAAAATAAAAACCTTCTACAATTTAATTTAGCAAAAAGTGGAGATAGAACAGCTCGGAAGCAGACGCCCTAGCAGCCATTTGCTGGAACCCAGCTCTGAGTGCTTTGTTTTCCTTCTGAACGGAACACAGACATACTCCCAAAGAGACAGGGCCTGAAAGCAACATTAATTTCCTTAATGCATAGCTGGGAAGCTTTATAAATTGGTACTAATGCCTCTAATGTACAAGGGTTTACAATTCTTTACTAGGACAATACTGACAAAAGGTTTGCAGAAACAGTAATTGCTAATTGCCAATGAATATTGATGTTTCAATATGGATGTGAATCGTGACCAAAGAGGGAGCTCAATAAATACAAGAAAAGCAACACTCTGTAAGTGCTGTATTTAAAATCATGTGAACGACTGATAGAAATCAATGTGTACAGAGTTCTGTTTCCTGCAACAACATGCATTTTGTTTCTGACCCAGCTGACCGAGCACAGTTAGGATTAGTGGTAATGCAAGTTCACTAACTCTCAGAAGGATATGGCAAAAGCTACGGAATAGCGCACCGCTCAGCCAGGGCTGCAGAGGGTCCATCCAAACACAATTATAGTTCTGGTATCTGCGATCCCTGCAGCACAAGCATCTTTGCTCAGCGCAAGCAACCGAATATCAAAGGGCACTGTACGGTGCACGCACGTAGGAGATGGGGCGGGGGGGAAGGAAGAGATGTAAATTTTTGGCCTCGGTGCTGTACTCCTCACTGCAAAAACACATGCTATGTGCAACGGTGCTTTCGACACAGCGGTAACTTCTACCATTCACCGCTGCGAAGGACTGGCAGCTAACCTCACAGCTTGCTGCTGCCAAACAGACACTACTTCTCTCCTCACCTTCCCTTCTCACAGAATTCGTACGCGAAACTTCACGCGTGCCAAAACCCAGTCCAATAAAAAGAGACCAAATAATACGTTCGTGATTTTAAGCACTTACCTAAGCAGAGCTTTGTCCTTGTTAAGATGCTGGAAGAAGGAAGGCTCACAGATGAGCTGGCTTTCCTGACAAACTTGTTTACAGGATTTTCCTGGTTCAGCAATTTTCACTTGAAGGGCACTTAATGGGGGCCACATCACCTGCCCGTGACAGAAATCCTGCAGTGACAGATCATATTTTATTATAATGCATCCAGTCCCTTGCTAGCAATTTTCCCCATTAGTAAAATAAGTGGTTGTTATCACCCAAACACTCATTTTGCAACTCATTTCGGTTGTATTGAAATCAATAATTTCAAGCACAATTTAAAAAGAATATTTTTTTTTAGCATGAGGGAATTATCACCTTTGATTGCTACTTGAAATGTGGTAGTGTCATTCTTCCCAAAGAAGCTTCTTCCCTACCTTTACCTTTTTTAATTTATCATAAAGCAACTCCAGATACTCTCGTTACTGCCACATATCCAACGTCTTTTGGGCTTTCTCAGTGATTCCTGCTTCACTAACTCAGTGCTAGCAGAGCTATTTTCCTAACAGCACAAATATCAGGAGGAAGTTCTGGTAGGAGAATTCCAGAAGCCAGTTACCCTGTAGGTGGGAAATGTCTGACGTGGCCCACGTGGAGAGGCATCCGGAAAGGATCAGGGCACTCGCAGCGCTATGGAGTGAGCTGAACTCAAAAAAGACCGAAGATTTCTACAAAGCAAGCAGGATTCAAAGAGTTTGTTTGCTCTTCTGGGTTGAACTGCTAGTAAAAGTGCTCTCCCAACACTGAAAAAAATGGCTATAAATAATGCACCACAGCGGAAAGAGGGAGGGAAGAAGAGACATCTAAACACACTTGCCAGCAAGAACTATTCCAAGACAAGTTCGTACGGTCTTGACATTTAAAATGAGAAAAAGCAAAAAGAAAACTTTCATCACTGGTTTTATAGAACATTCCATCATACTCAGCCATTATTTTAACATTTGGCAACTCTCATCAAAAAGTGATCAAAAAATTTGGGCCTGGTCCATCACGGTTTGCTTTCTCCTGACAAAACTAAAATTGGTATGAACAGGTCCCAAATTGTGACCCAAAGCTTGGAAAGGCAGAACTACTTGAAATTTTAATGAAGCTAAGACCCCAAATCATTTACCAGATCCCAATATCAGTTTGGTGGGTTTTTTCTCTGTTTAGATTTCCTCTGCTGAAGGAGGAAGTTTTCATACTCCCAGGTCCAACCATAAACTTAATATCATACAACCATGAATCACAGAATACCCTGAGTTGGAAGGGACCCTGGAAGATCTCAGAGTCCAACTCCTGACTCCACACAGGGCAACCTAAAAGCTAAACCAGATATCCAAGAGCGTTGTCCAAATGCTTCTTGAACACTGGTAGGCTTGGGGCCTTGACTGCTTCCCTGGGGAGTTTGTTCCAGCGCTTGACCACCCTCTCTCAGTGCAGAGCTTTTTCCCAGTATCCCCTGATGTAGCTCTAAGCCATTCCCCTGTGCCATATTCAAAAAAAACTTGAGTAATTTTGAGCATATTTATGGCAGAATAATTTTAACAGCATCTAAAAAAAACAGATTAAAGAGAGATGGTTGGAGGTACTTTTTAATGAGGTTGTTTCAAAAAGGACATTTTCCTATTTGGACTTAAGCACTCTGCTTATTCTGTCCTTTCGTAAATCAATATTTAAAATACTAGATGCAGGAAGAAATCTATATAGGTGCAAAATCCAATCCAATACTGTTACACTATATAATACCGTAATATATACTAATGCAATATATACAATATACTACTGTAATATTGGATTGGATTCACAGCTAGCGCAGGCAGAAGACAAAGTTTTTCAAAGACAGGGAATCACTTGTGAGGCTTCACCATTTGCTGGCGGCTTCAGCTTTTAACATCTCTTAGTTGAAAAATTCTCCCCCAAAGCTGGGCACAGCCTCCCATTTCTGGTCCGCAGCTTGGTGGGAAGCCTTCCTCAGCTTATACCGCCTTGAAGCATGCCTCAGAGTACATCACCTTCACAGGTACCAGCACACAGGGCTGTGTTTCAGTTTGCTGTCTCTGGCTAGTTTTCCTATCAACCATTAAAAGCAACCTAAATTTGGTATCTTCACCCCAGTCTGTCGTGCCCCACAACCCTACATGCAGAAAGGTAAAATAAGGAAAAGATGTTATGTAAAACAGAAGGTTAAGTTTCACCAGAGACTGTGTTTATGTTTGTTTTACCTATAACCACAATTTCAAGGTGAGACAGGCTTAGCCCTGCTGGCAAAGGAGGCGGCCTCCTCCCCCTGGCTTCTCCTGCTCTTGGCTGAACGTTCTCACGCCACTCCTTTCACCAAGCTCTGGTGCTCAGCTGACCCTCTGCCGAGCCAAGGCAGTTTGCTAACCTAGTAAAGCCCTGCCAAAACCATTTTCTGTCGGGTTACCGAGTACTCCGCTTGACCACATCTTTCAAAGTCAGCCTGCCTGTTCCATCAGCCCAGCCTGCCCCGTCCAACAGCTCCCAAGTTTGCAGCAGGGAATCCCGCAGCTGCTTTGGCTGCAAGTTGCCTGGCTGCTCCTTTGATGGCAGTGCCAATTTAAGCAGTCCCACCCTTTGGTTCCCACCCTATGCTGCCGCTTTGCAGAGCTGACACAACTGTTTGTGCAGCCACAGAGCAACCAGGATCAAGGGATGGATTCAGCAGATGGCACAGATGCACCCAACAGCCACGCTGGGCCGCTGGCAGGGCCAGCGCACTGGCGGGAAGGAGCAGCTTGGAGTGAAAGCTGGTTTAATCCAGCTGAAGGTGGCACTGCTAAATGTGAAACCACAGCTCGCAGCAGTTCTCTTACTTCAGACCCTAAGACCTTCAGCCCAGCTGTTGGATCTGAAGATTCAGGGAATGCACTAAACCTTTCTTGTGAGCGCTGTCCTCCCTCCTGATCCCGAGCCAAGGCACCAGAAGGGGAACTCTGGCCAACTCCTTTCAATCCTACAGCTTCACTGTCCCATAGGACGACTTGTGTGTGAGTGTATCTGGCCCCATCCTCTTCACATTCAAACATCCCCTGAAGACCAGACTCTCGTGGTCAACGCACCCCACAACCTCTGAACCAGATCAACTCCGTCCATCTTTGTTCCTGGTCTAAGCTTGTGTGGCTTTCTCTGTTCTGCCTGCCTCCCACCACAAAGTCTTCAAAATAAGGTCTCAACTGTTATTTTTGCTTCACCTGACGTGTTTATCAAGCACAGTGCTAAGCACATGCAGCTAATAATGATGCTTGCGCATCCTGGGGGCTGTGAAACAATAATGGCTTTTGACAATTAGTCAAAGGAATGAACGAAATGACCATGCTGTATTTATTTCCGAGAAGCACGCAGTAGAGGCCAGGGCTTAGCCCTTGGGGGAGGTCCAGAGGGGAGAGACAGTTGTGCCCCAAAGAAGCTCTCTCTAGATTGCCTCTTTTTCTCCCTTACACTGAGCTCCATTTCCTCCTTTATTCACAAAACTCAATTACAGCTAATTCAGGTAGAAGAATCAAAAGAAGCAGAGATACTCTTACAGGCTATGCCATCAATACAGCAGCAAAAAGATTAAAGCGTTTATTGGCAGGAAACTGGAAATAGCTATGTTATGTTAACTACACTTCTGATCTGGAGCTGTGTTATTCTTTATTACTTTCTGTAATACTGTCCTCTTTCAGAAATACCGGTACAAGAGCGTGTGCAGTGCTTTTGAAAGAAATCCTGGAAGTTAATTGGCGTAACAGAGATAGAGGTTATTCCTCTCTCTCTTCTGCAGCAGCCAGAACAAAAGGCAGAGCCTGCTGTCGCAACAGATCTGGCCTTGGGCAGAAGTCCAAGCAAACATACAGATTGTGGAAATCAGGATCCCATGTAAATCTCTGCAGTTTATTACTCCAACTCAATATCTTCTGCGGCTCTCAGCTGGCAATAATGCATGGGGACCAAAAGTCCTTTAAGTAAGTGGTTTCCAAACCATTTAAAGCTTTATCGATTGAAACTAAACACTTGAAAAATCCACCCAGAGGCTTTAGCCTAAGTGCAGTTCTACCACAAAAGTATCTCTATATCTACACGATACTTCATAGTACAAAGATTATTTGCATGTACACAGTTAAAGAAGTCACATATGCACTGAAAAATTACTTTGCCTTTCTGCTTTGATATAACACCAAGGACTGCACAGCTACTATTTCTACTTGAACAGCAACGACACTGCGAAGCTTTAAGATGGAGAGAGTCCTCCCATTACCAGCATAAAACAAGTCATCCACAAGAAAAGTTCATACCTGTCTTTCAATAAACGCATTCATCCTCTGAAGCATTCCCTCACATGTAAATTCATAGGGCAAATAAGGGTCAATCTGTGGAAACATAGTATGTTAAGGTTAGAAGGTTTTTTGTTTAAATGAACTTCGTGGTGCGCTGCAGCTTGCATTCCAAATAACTACATTATAGCTTAAGTAGCAACAATAAATGCAAATAAACTCATTAATGAATCACAATTTCACAAAACCATCAGCAGTTTAAGCTGATTTTTGCTCCTTTGTAACAACAATAAAAGTTGCTCAGTGATTATCTTTAAGGAAACTCAGGGTATGTTGCAAAGTAATAAGAAGACGTAAAGCTAGCCTGAGACCCTACGGGATTCCAGAGCTCCTGTTTTAACTAAGTTTCAGTTCTGGAGTTGAAGTGAAAATGAAAACATTATCACAAAAAAGAATGTGATACCTTTGAAAATTACTTCAAACTTCGCCCCCCTGCCCCTTGAAGTGCCCTCATTACAATTCCACGCTGTAAGCGCACAAGCGCTTCAGTGGCGGTTATGTCAAGGCTACAGAATCAGTCAAAAGAATGGAGCGTGTATTTGGACAGCCTGCAATGCTCTAAGAATCAACAAGGAAACTTCCTTGCTGAATGCACAGAAAATATAGATTGGTGTATAATTTACATATAAAATTCACTTTTCTATACAAATTCACTCACGCACATTTTTTTCAGGTAAAAACCTGACATACCCAGTACTAAGGCATGATAATCAGATACCACAGAGGTGTAACAACAATTTTTTTCCCCCAGTATCCTACCAAAGTGCAGCATTCTGCTTTAATTACACCAACATTAGGAAGCACTCTACATGCAGTACACAATACACCCTCAAGCGCTGATGGCAAACTGAGGATACATTTCTCACCTTTTGATTCAAAATTGATTTCACAGCCTTCTCAACTTCAGAAAGATCATTGATGTCTACAGTCCAGACATGGGGCTTCCCAATGTAAACTTCAGCATAGGGATGCTGAGATGTCAACTGAAAGGAAGAAATTATATTGGTAAAAACTCATGCACGAAGATATTCTTCCCTCTCACTCCCTTCATCAGACTTTTTGGATGAAACGCACTAGGATAACGCAAGAATTCAGCTAGAATCTAACAGTCAGCGTCATTCCTTCGGAGTTATCTTTCAGATTTTCTGTGTTTAAATTTAGAGAGTGATTTTAGTTGGAAAACTGAAAATCAGATAATAATGCAGATCACAAGTAACGTTTGTGCACCTCTCAGTTGTGGCTTTGATCCTCATAATGACCTACATCACAGAAGACTTGATGCCTACTGAAATTACTTTTACAATGTGACCCTGCTTCCCCACAGCTCATTCTCAGAGCAGCCCTGAGTTTTCACAACCCGTAATTGCTACCAGTCCTGGTTAGACCTGCATGACTGCCTTCAAGAGATGTCATCCTCGCCCTGTCTCACCTTCAGACAACATCTTCGCCCTGTGTCTCCTTCAAATTTCAAACATTTCCAAGCTTCTGTGAGTAGTAGTGAATAAAGAATCATTTCTATCACTTAGATGAGTTCTGACTCTTGCTGCTGATGTAGTACAAGAGTGACTTGACCTCAATAAGAGTGTTAACCGGTATTTTGCTCACCACTTTGTCAGAAAACAAATTCAATAAATACCCAAGTAGATAACTAAGAAAAGTTATATTAGAGATTACTTTCAGAACTAGCAGGACGGCACTAAAAGTAACTTTTGTGACAGGTTGCACAGGAGTGAGAGGAACATGCAAACGAACACATGGAGAGGAAGAAAAAGCTGCAGAAGAGATGGGAGTGTTTCGCAATGGCCCCAGAAGAAAATTGCTTTTTAAATAAATACAAAAAACCACCCTAGAGGATAGATTATTCATAGGTAATTTTTATACAGCTGCCTCTTTATGCATGATACAAAGAAAAATCTAGTCAGTGCAAAAAGTCGGATACGGTATCTGTTGGAAAGAACCTTCTCCTGCACTGGGCATACACAATACTTGCTTTCTTCCTCAAGTGAATGCAAGAAACTTCTTAATTTTTTTTTGCCTGTTGCATTTTGCTTGTGGACAAGAGAAGCCAGTCTTATAGTTACATATGGGATCGGCTAGCATACATCTGTGCTCTGAGACCAGTGCTGCAGAGGACTCTGTGCCGGCTCCCACCTTCGGCTGCAGGGCAGCGTGGTGCTGAGGCCTCGCGGGCTGGCTGGAAGGCTGCAGCTGCTGGGCCGGTAACTCGGGATGCTTCTGCAGGCAGACAGCTTCCCTAGATGCCTGCATTCACTTGCAGCCCGCTGCATCGTGCTCCCATCGGTATATTTTAAATTCCTCCAAAAAGTCCAGTCCTTCTTGAAGACTGATACATTCTAACCTGTTTTCAATAGTATTTCTACTGCCACTAAAACTGTATGTACTTAAAAATTCGGGTTACCAAGGCTGAGTTCCCAGGGCACTTATGTCTGGACTTTAGATGGCAGAAGCTACATTCCTATTGCTTTCAGTAACAACAAAAAACCTTCTATTGCACCTTTAAAAATATGAACATAAAACAGTGTTTTAAATTCCATAAAGCTTTTATGCCTTAGACCACGCTCTCTACCATCTCAGACAGACAGTCAGCAACTTTAAAGCCAGATCTGATCTGGAAGACGAACAACTGAACTTCTCAGACTAGCAGCTGTTTTAAGTATTAAGAGTAACTAGCAGCATATTTTTATTGCACCAGTTATTCTACATCTGTACTCTAAAAAAAAAAAAATTAATTAGCCAAGGCTTAATGTTTTAGATATTTAGGAGATATTCCCTCTGTCTATAATTAAAATCTATAAGAATTCTTATAAAAGTATGTGGAATTCTTTTCTAATTTCAGGTCTTTTTTTCCCTTCCTAAGAGCAGAAAATGAAAGAAACCACACCCTCCAAGTACACATTTCAATTAGGTTTAGCATACAGTGTTTTCTTTCTTGGGGGTGTGTGTGTGTGTGTGTGTGGTACGGAATGGAGAAGAAATATTGGTACAGATACTGGCACAAAACAAGCTGCTTGAAGGTTGATTTTTTTTTTTCAC